CCCGTACATATTCTTCTCGCTGGTTGCCTCTCGCCGAGTGGCACTCACTCTGTCCCCAGCGGGACGGGAAGGGCCACGAGTCGTGCACTCTGACCTTGCCCTGCTGTCCAGGAGGCCCAGGGCTTCTGCCTTACCCAGATGCTATCCCTAGGTGTGGACACTTTGTCAGCATCCTAAAAACATAAGCATCCGTTTGTGTTCTCTCAAGAGTTTAATAAGGAATGGGTGTTGAATTTTGTCAGAGAATTTTTAGCATTTCTACAAATAATTTGGATTCTTTAAACGTAATGGTACAGTGCTGTATATTTACATAGTTTCTAATATTTAATCACTGAATTTCTAGCACAAACCCCATGTATCCATGATGCATTTTAATGAAACTGGAGTCTATGTCGCGTTCATCTTCAGTTGCCTTCCCTCCTCCACCCTCTCTTCTTCCTTCCCTGTTTCCTCCGTGCTTTGCCTTTATCAGATTTAGGCATGTTATACTTGCATTGCAGAAAGAATTTGGAGATTTTCTTTCATTTTGTAAGCTTTGGAATAATCCGTATGCCACGTAAAACATGCAGCTTTGAGTAACTTAGTGACTTCAACTGTGCTGAGGTCCTTTCAAGGTCAGCTCTCTGTGGATTCAGGGGAGCAGGTGTCTGCGGGTGTCCAGCCCGGGAGCCTCACGGAACTCCAGAGAACCCACGGCACTCTGGGCTCCTCTGACCAAGAGAGGCAGTGTTACCTTACTTCACGGCCACGCACTCTCCGCTGGTGACTGGGCAGCCCACCGCAGGTCTGGGCTACTCCTCCTCGATGTTCCTCTACTTCAGGACAGAGGAGATGGAAGGGAGCTGCGCTCTTAGCTTCCGGGAGATGACTGAGAGGGGGCGGCTGTGGAACAGTGGAAGCAGCCCGGCGGCCAGGGCAAAGGAGCACTGTGCGGATTACAGACCACACCAGAGAGCTAGCAGCAGGGGTCCTCTATGCTGTCTAAAGGAATGTCTTAGAGTGTGAGGTTTGAGGCTGAGTCTACAAACTATGAATGACTATTTTTAACCTCATCTACCGCAAGTGCTCACGGATGTTCCTGCAGTTCTTTGAGCCCACTTCTGGGGCTCTTGGACAGAGGGCTGGAAATACATTGTCCTTATCCTTAAAAACATGACCTCTTGGAAGTGGCTGGCAGGTGGGGCCCTGAAAGCCAGCTCCTCCAGAAAAACCTGGGGTTGGGGTGTGATTTCAGGTACTAGATAACTGCAGCCCAAATGTTTTCTTCCTTTCCCGGGAAATAGTGTTATTAACAGTTATCAAGTTCTCTGTGAGTCGTGCCAGTCCGGAGACAAGCAATCCAGACATTTGGAGCACCTTTAGCAACTGAAATGTGAGCTCATTTCTGGCCCTAGAAAAGAACCACCGCTAAGAACAGGAATCTGGGGCCGGGGATGTAGCTCAGTGTCTCTCCTGCCTCGAAAGCACAAGGACCTGAGTTCCATCCCCGGTACCAAAAAACAAAAACAAAAACCAGGAATCTGGTGTCTACTAGTGTGACAACCCTCAGATCAGCGAGGAAGGTATCTCGGGTCGGTGTCAGGAACCAGAGTGGGTGGCAGGACAGAGACAAGAGAGACATCAGGAAGGAGACTGTCTGCACCTGCCAGTGGCAGTCCTGCTCTAGACTTCCTGTTCTCACTCACAAGTGAAATAATACAGTATGATGAAGTACTTTGTCATACCTGAAACAGCCTCATACCCACAAGGTGCTATTGATACCCTGAGTCCTTAGTATACAAGCCCAGGTCAGCAAAGCTCACCAACACTTGTAGAAGTTCAGATGCATTCTCACTTATTCGTAGTGACTATCGTAGTCCATCCACGTCACTAAACCAAAAGAGCATGATGCGGTGGCTTTGAATCATCAGACACTGATTTCCTCATGGTTCTGAGGCTGAAAGGTCAGGGTGGCAGCAGATCAGTGTCCTTCCAGGCCAGCTGCCCAGAGATGTCCTCTCCCTGTGCCCTCCTGGGGGAAGCAGGAGGGTCTCTCGGGGCCTCCTTTATAAGGTGCTCATCCCACTCGTGAGGCCCCCTCTGGGACTTAGTCACCTCCCGAAGGTTGCACCCTCTGATGCCATTGCCTTCGGATTAGGATTTTGCCATGGGAATTCAGGAGGGAATATAAACATTCAGAGCATGGCAATTACTAATAACCAGAGTCCAAGAATAGCCAATCATTTAAAATATTACACTAGTATTTATAATAAAAATATTTTAAATCCCTATAAATGTCTCAGTGGTTATCTTTGCTCTAGGAAAATAGCTATTACTCTCAACTAAAAGATCCAACTGGAGGGGCCACAAAGCACAGTTCTCAAAGAATCTGAGGCATGGGAATGTAGAAGTCTTGACTTTCGTTTATTTGTATTTTCTCCAAGGTTTAACCAGTGTGTCACCAACATAGCTGCATGAGGTTGGCGATTAGCTGAGCTGCTCTGCATCACCACAATGGCCCTCTAACACCTCCTGCTCAGCCTGCCCTTGCCCCAGGATGCAGTGAGCAGAGATGAGATCCTCTCTGTCGTTACTGACCCCAGTGTGGCACAGACAAAGGAGCCAGATGAGCCCATAGCTGCAGTGTCTCCAAGGGGAAGGAGGATGCTGGAAAATGTTCCTGCTTCTTTATCTTCTCCCAGTCAATGCCCAGTTTGCAGGCAACAGGCAGGTGGCACAGTGGCAGCTCAGAGGCCCTCGTGTGGTTGGTGGGTGCAGGTCGGGAGTCACACTGACACCCCGCTATGTCCTGCTGCAGCAGTAGTGTCGGTGCATCAAGTCCACCCGACCTCCCTCCCAGTTCCTCCCCCAGACCTGTTGTTCTGCAAATCACATTCAGCCCTAATTGGCCAGAGCAGGTGAGCTGTCCTCACAGCCACCTATGTTCAAGGCAGTAGCACGGCCTTGAACACGAGGCCCAGCCTCCCCACCACACCTTGCATGAAGACACCAGGAGAGAGCAGCACGCAGGCTGTGTAGACTCAGGTGCCAGCAGACCAGCACCAGCCCAGACGCTGCTGCTCAGCTCCTCTGCCCTGGGAAGAAAGCGAAGTGACACCAGGAGCAGGCGCGGATATACAGAGGGGAAGCTGCTCAACTGAGGGTTGGTAATCATTTTCTTTCATTTGGATTGAAGGGAATGTTAAGCAGAAACACTGGGCAATCTGCCATGGCTTGTTTTTAAAGTCTGCATGCCTTGTTATCATCACCAGTCTATTTTTATAGCATAACTCATATAAGAAACATCCAAGTGGGGAGAGAACTGAGTCCCAATGGGAGGATGTTGCAAGAGGGGACCTGAGAAAGCCAAGTCCCTGCAAAGGGATCAATGTCTAGGGACTCATGCCTGAGGACCCACTTCCCGGCCAGGAGCCCCCAAGCCACAGGGCCGAGTGTCCTCAGGAGTGCATGGCATAAGAAGTCAGCAATCTCATCCTGTAAGCATGTGTAACTTGCAGGTGGGAAATGCCCCGGCTGTGACAGGCACATACTCCTAGTAACTGCTGCTGTCCTGTCCTGAGAACACACCTCTCCCTCCCCAGCTGGCCCAGCCAAGCGAGCAGCAGGCCTGCAGGCAAGACGGCTGCTCCTCCTGCTGGGTTCGTAGCAAGGAGTTTCTGCTTCCTGAAACCCTGCACCCAGTGACCCCTTCCTGGGGGAGGGTAGGAAGGCCGAAGGTGAAGTCCTGGTGGCAGCCGAAGCCTCTGCAGCACTGAGCCTCCAATGGAATCCTGTGTACCACACAGCTTCGAGTGTAGTCAGGACCCCCCTTGCCTGCCTGGCTCTGCTGCCTCACAGCATCCTGCTGCAGAATTCCTCCCCAGAGCTGCAGGCAGCCTGTTCAGGAGATGATGTGGGACAGCCATGGAGCAGAGGAGTAAGCGGGATGAAGAGAAGGCAGCAGGTCCGCAGTCCACAGTAGGAAGTCACAGCTGTGGGCAGCTGAGAGCAAACCCTAGCAGAGAACTCACTCAGGAGAGCTCCAGGAAGCACGGGCCGGAGGGGCAGGGAGGTGGCACCGCCACCAACTCGATCTGCCTAGGTTCAGAGTTCTTTGGAAGAGGCATTAATTCTCTGGTGTTTCTGTCACACCTTACAGACAGGCAACCCAATCTCAGGGGCTTGGAGAGAACTCTCAGGCAAAGAAAGGCAGGCACTGCTGGTGAGAAGGAAGGAAGGAAGGAAGGAAGGAAGGAAGGAAGGAAGGAAGGAAGGAAGGAAGGAAGGAAGGAAGGAAAAGGGAAGGGAAGGGAAGGAAGGAAGGAAGGAGGGAGGAAACAAGGGGAGGGAGGGAGGGAAATATTGGGAGCAATGCTACATAATTCTAGGGAAAAATCATTTGGTTAGCCTAGTTCTCTTGCCTACAGCCCAGCTACAGAATAACTCCAGTTTGG